AAGTAGTTTTATTTTCAGAGAGGGAAGGAGGGCAAGAGACAAATTTTTTCAAATTAATAAATTTTTAATACCAAAACAAAAATAGCTGTGACTTTAGTTGAATTCAACCATGAAGTATGTTACTTTAGTTTATGTTACTTGTCATAAACTAAAGTTTATGACAAGTAAAAAACTTTAGTTTACATTACTTGTCGTAAACTGAAGTTTATGGCAAGCTTATGATGATAAATGTTTTGTACTTACTGTCATATACAAAACTACCTGATTTCCAGAAAAATATTATTTTCATTTTCAGGGTATAATTTTTCTTGTTTAAATAGGGTTTTACTATGAATAGATTATTAGATAATACAATCTTATATCATTGTGAAGCAAATTAAATCTTTTAAATATTGTTAAAAATTAAGTTGTGTAGCACCTTTAAAAAAATGTTATTATACATTATTGTGTAGAATTAATAAATGAAGATGGTCAAAATCTAGAAGGAAATAATTGTTATTGCAAACCATGTTTTGAAATTGAAAAAGCCAAATTAGATAGTAACAAGTTTTTCTCTAAAATTCTTTCAGTAAAATGTTCAACTTTTAGTAAAAAAAATAAAAATTTATTTGTTTTTAATACATAAAATTGTTACTGAGAAAATCTCTACTTAGGAAAAAAATAATGATATATTAAGAAATTGGTGCAGCATAAGTGGGTATGCGCCAAATGTTAAGTTTGATGTTACTAGTGACATTGCTTTTTGGTTTTGCAAAACTTTAATTTATTTGTTCAAAGCAGTCAAGACTGGTGTAAAATATGTTTTGAAATACTCAAATACTGCTTCATTACTCTTTGATGGCTGGAAAGATAAATAAACTATCATTTATTGGTGTAAAGTGTTCAAGTAATGACAAGTGAATGAGATAGAAAAATTTTTAGCTTGTTGACCACTGTAAAACCATGCTGCAGAATTGCATATTTTATGAAGGATGTTATCAAAGATATGTTTTGCAAATAGTATGGGGGTTAAGTCTGCTTAATGTTCATGATTGTGCTGCAAACATCATAGACTGATGGGTTTTGAAGAACCTCAGCATTGTTTAGCTCATCTGCTGACTTTACTATTGGTTCTGATAGTCTCAACAAATGTTCTGAAGTCTTAAAATTGCTTAAGAAATGTTGAATGTAAAATGTTTGAGCTTTATATCTGTTCTTGTTAACAAATTTTTGTGCACAAATGATGATGTAAATCTTTAAGAAAAATTGCAGAAGTGAAAGAACTTGTTAATATTGTTAATTAATTCCTAATTCAAGCAATTCAAGCAAGTCAAAATGACAGTCTAATCATTTCAGATAATGAAGATGAATGTAAAGAAAATGATCATTTATTTGCGGAAAACTCAAGATATAAATCTAAACAACATAAAAGTTTAAAACTCCAAGTAAGTAGTTAGTGAAACAGTGCACTGTTTATGATAGAGTCTATCGATCATTGATCAATTGTATAATAGCGTAAAAAAACTAAAAAAAAAAAGAAGATTGGCAATTGGCAAAAGAAAGCTGTGTTTCAATGAGAGCTGTTTCTCAAATGGCAAAAGTGAGCTGTGTCTCACTTTTGAGCTACAGTTACTAAGGTAACTTGTAAAGTTTCTAAAATATTTTTTAAACTTGATAGAAGTTGTAAGTTGTGACTCTCTATCTATTTTGCCATTAGTTAAACAAAAAATTGCTTCTCAAGGTATATGCTGATGATTTACCTGCGGTAAAAAAGCTAAAAATGGCTTGTAGCTCAAAATAAGAACAGCCTTTAAAAACAGTCAGAAACAGCCAAATTATCATGTTAGCAATGTTATTGATAACAATGAACTACTGAAAGATAGTAAAAATAGATAAAATTATAATATAAATAAAATAACAATTATAAATGTTAAAAAACTGATCTAATTAGTTGTATAACATGTATAATTATAGTTTACTATAATTATATTTTATTATAATATAATTATATCACTATAATTATATTATAGTTTATTATAATTAAATTTCTACTAAAGCTTGTTACATATAATATGAAAATGTCATTGAATTATTTGTATGGTTGATTTTTGTAAATTATGTCGTAGCATATTATTTTATTTTTTATTTTGCCTTTCCAAATTATGATCAAAGCCAACATTAAAGTCTAGCCAGGGAAGTCAATATTTATATTATTTGTCTACCAATAAAAGAAGAACTTTGTAGAGTTTTGGAAAAGTAATCATAAAAAGTTTCCCCATATGGCATGATTGACAGGTGAATATTTATGCATTCCATTAAGCAATGTAGCAGTAGAATACATGTTTTTAACTGCTGGATTGGTTGTAAATCCTTGAAGAAGTGTACTAAACCCAAATAATATGAACATAATTATTTTCATACATAATAACATTGGTTTGTTGTGAAATAAGCAGGGTTCAGAACTTATGTACATATCGGCGAATATATGTGCATACCATTCAAAAGTTATGCACATAATTATACGCATAAAATGCATATGATGTGCATACAAACTTAACAGATATATGGTATGTGAAATTAATTAAATATTGTCAAATACGAAGAAAATGTCTTTTAAATCATTTGCAGGCAACTTTAAATTAAAGGAAGTAATTTTTCATTTGTCTTTCTGTTTTGTATTATACTTTTGTCATTTCTATCCAGCAAAACACTATTGGTATATATGAAACTAATTTTTTTACGCATTTGTTTGCCAAGCAATTACTCAATCATGAATGAATAAATCAGATAACCAACCAAGTTTTCTCTGCTGTTGCTGATGAACAAATCATTTCAACAATAGATTTTGCAACTTCAAAGACTGCTGGATATTTCTGACAACAAACAATGTTCCAATAATTCTTTGCGCTTATTTAAAAATTGTCTCTTTTCTTTTTTCTGTCACTTCTCAAACAATATCAATTGTTTCATTTTCAACTCTCTCAGCAATTTTTGAATTTGTTATAGAGGCTTCTGATATTGAATTGATTATATCATTCTTGTTCTCACCAAATCATTTCCTCTTTTGCAAATTTCTTGTACATTTCACCACAATAGTAGTACACCAAAGATAATAAAGCATCATAATTTTTAAGTCTTCTCATGATGTTAGAAGGATATTCAATATCTTTCACGAGTTTTGCCAAACTATCCCAGCAAATATTCCTCGCTGTGAGTGAGCGAAGAATATTTGCTGCGATTCTCTTTTTGTCAAACTTTGCTTTAACAATGTGATGATTTTTCACAAATTTAATGATTTTTCAGCTTTTTTGATGGTTTTTGAACTTTCAGCAGTACTCAAAACGTCCTTAATGAGAAGATTCATACCCTGTGCTGCACAGCCATACGTCGAGATGTGTGGAAATTTTTCTTCAATTAATTTCCATGCAGCTTTCAATACTGGAGCATTGTCAGTGATTATGCTTCTGAATTTTTGTGGGCCGAGAGCCTCGATTACTTCAATGATGGCACCAGCAAGAGCTGCAGCATTTTGAATTATGCCCGATGTGTTGATTGAAATAGAGAATTATAGTTTTGTATTTGTTGCCTTGATACAAATATTTACCATATGATTGCCACCAATATTTGTCCGACCATCACTGACGAGCGTTAAATTTTCAGATAGTTAGCAAATTTTTTCCAATTTAGCAGAGCATTTTGCATACTTTTTATCAATAAACAAATCTGACAGCATTTTCATGGATACTATTGATGATGCATACAATGGATTTAGTGCTTTGATCAAATCCTTAAAAGATTCAGATTCAAAGAGACGAAGAGATATTCCAGTTTGGAAAAAGAAATTTGCTAATTTCATAACGATTTCATTAATATTGATTTAATAGTGGAATTAAAAGTTGTTAATTTTTAGTTCCAGTATTAAATCTAATGATTTTTTTGTTTCAAAAGTACATTAAATAAAAATTCCATGAAAACTAGAATTAAAATTTGTTTATTTGTCTCTCTGTCTAGTCAAAACAATTTAATGGTTTTTAATTTTAAGCTAGCTAACTTCATTTTATATTATTCAGCCACCACTAGTTTAACAAGCAGCTTTGAAAATTGGTCATTAAAACATTTTTGACACAGTTAATATCTTTAAAATATCAGAATAAAATCTTTTTCATCTATTTTCTAATGTTGTTAATCCAACCTTTTTTGTATGTTTTTAATACTTTTGCTTAATACTTTCTAATATTTTATAATATTCTAATATTTACCAGCTTTTCTTAATGGACACCAAACTTAAACAGAGAACTGAATTAAAATGTCTAACATATATTTTATACAAAAGTTTCAAAAAAGGTCAAAACCTACAATCAAGTGTTTTTATTTAAACCAAGCATAGAATTTGTTTAAGAAGCACTTGCAGTTTTATTTAATTTATTAAAATTTCCCATTTTAGGTAATTAAAAAAAACTACACCCAAAAGTCTTTTGTCTACTTTTGCTTTTAATTAAGTATTGCTAATAAAATAATTATTTTTTTTATGTTGATACTAGTTAAAACTCCGCTGCGGAGAAACAAGTTAAAATTAAGGTTATTTTGCTTTTTTTAAAGTAGAACACACATATATACTCATATTATATATAATTAGTCTCCTTAAATGTCCTCCTTGAGTCATCTTAAATAAGCATCCTCTCTAAAAACAATTTTAAAACATTAGGGCTTTATATTAGAATATATGTTCTATATAAAATTTTATAAGTAGCATACATTATTACCACAATAACATTTTAACATTCTTAGGAAAATAAAATATCTTTAAATTTTTGTTTAGAGTTTTTTTGGTAAGAAAAAATATCTTAATGCTGAAACTTGATTTATTAATTAACTTAATAATTTGTATTATATAAACCAACTTTTTTTTTTTTTTCTTATCTAATATTAACAAATTTTGAAAGTTTTTACATTTTAAATTATTTTTTATTGTTATTAAAATAGAATGAAATCATCTTTTTTTTTAAATTTATTTTTTGAAGCATTACCTACACCTGGAACCTATGTTTACTCACTTGTTGCTCGCGATAAACCTGTTTATGAAAAAGGAATTGTTGCTGAGCTTGATGATAAAATGATTTACATACATCACTTGAGCAAACTAAAAATAGCTCATGATCGTCACAATACCGAGTTTGTTGTTCGTAACATAGTTCCTTTATCATCTTCCTTGCGAATTGGTCAAGATGTGATTGCACAAAAAGATTCAAGTGATCTTTGTATGCATTTAGCAAAGGTTACAGATATTGTTGAAAGTTCAAACACAAAACATTTTTATGTTAAATTTACAGATGGTTCTATAAAAAAAGTAAATTTAGGGAAAATTAGGATTGTACCTAAAATTGGCATGTCAGATTCAGAAGAAAAGCAAACAAGTGATACTTCCTCTATAAAAACTGAGCATTTGCTTATTGATGTTGAAGGAATTTGCCTTCGAATTGAAGGTTATCTTGGAGGCCAGCTAACTCCAATGATGCGGTTTGATTTGAAATTACAAGCTGATGTTTTTGATTGGACTGGAAAAGTTAGTGGGATGTCTACATTATCAATGCAAGCTAGTTACTACAATGAATCTGTTGCAGAGTGGGAACCATTAATTGAACCAATAGCTGAAAACAGAAAAGAAAAACCATGGCAACTAAGTATAGAGGTATAAAAAAATTTAGTGTTAGTTTGTTATTTTATTACCAAAAAAATAAAGGTTAATAGTATAATATAATATAAATAAGGATATATAAAATATTAGAAATTATATACAATAATATAAAAAATGTATAGTTATTCAAAATTTGTGTTTGATTTTTTATTTAATATTTACTCAAGAAAAGGGTGTTTCCCAAACACCTAACAAATTAAGATTAAAATGCTTCCTTTAATTTGTCTTTTTCTTATGAAGAATTTAATTGTATAAAATATAATAGCATCCTAACGCCGCCAGCTTAAACTTCATAAGATATTAATTAAAAACTAATTTAAAGAAGGGTTAATCTGATCACCACACAGGGTAATTTTTCTGGAAAACTTTTTAATTTTAAATCATTTTAGCACACTTTGTGGGCAAGGCCGGCGCGATAGGGGGGTGTGACACCCCCCCCCCCCCATCAATGATTTTTAGTCGGCAAACTAGACCCTTAGTCGGCAAATTAGACCCTTAGTCGGCAAATTGGACCTAGTTAGTCGGCAAATGTGGACCCTTTCGATATAGGTTAGACAGTCGGCAAATGTCGTCATGACAGTCGGCAAATTTTTGAAAACGAGGACTTTTTTTTTTTAATCTGCAAAAGTTGTAATGGCACCCCCCCCCCCCCCCACGTGACACCTACTCGCGCCGGCCCTGTTTGTGGGCTTAAATATGAAACCTTTTTTTATTATAAAAATTATCTTTTATGTTTTTTAAAGTTTAATGCTTCTAAAAAATTTCAAAGATTTTTAAAAAAACATAACTTAAATATGATTTTAAAAAAGATCTGCATATATTTAAACCATCTGCATTTTAAGGATTTCTGAACCATGAGTTACAAAAATTTAACTTTTTATGGGAAAACTCTTGACAACAATAGAGATTCTTGGGACTTTAGGTACTATATGCTTATATTTATATTAAAAAGTAAAAAAAAGTCTCATAATATATATATATATATATATATATATATATATATATATATATATATATATATATATATATATATATATATATATATATATATATATATATATATATATATACATATATATATATATATATATATATATATATATATATATATATATATATATATATATATATATATATATATGGGTTATTAAATATAATTTTTGTTTGATTTAGTACATAACACAAAAGGATAATATTCAAGATGAGACTGCGTTACTGATCAAACCTATGGCTGTTCTTAAGGCTGTATCATATGATTGTTTAGAAATGACACTTACCAAATCTAGTATTTCACTCTTGCAAGATCTCGGAAAGGTAAAATAATTTTTATAAACTATTACCAATATAACGCAATAAATCATGAATCTTCAAACAATGAAGCAATATTGTTGTTTTAATTATGTTATTATAAATTTTAAGTGTCATGAAATATGAGTGTTTAGTTTTTTGTGATTACATATATAATTTTTCATTATTATTATAAAATTTTTTAAAAAGCTTTCTCAATTTTTTTTTTTTAAAGTTATTTAGTGATGCTTATGAGTGTTCAGAGGATGTTCCAAAACCTGTCTCACTAGCAAAAGATCCATTTATTATTCAAAATAAGGTAAGTTTTGTAAAAAATATAACTAGAGTTCTAAGCTTTGGATTTATTACTCTTTTCTAGAATTATTTTAAGGATTTTTAAGAATAAAACTAAGAACTCTATAATCATGTAGTTTATTATTTTCATTTAAAGTAAATTTTAAAATATTTTTTTAAATACAGAACTCTAAAACTAAGATATCAAAATTAATTGAAGAGCTTAGTGCTAAAAGTACTTAAGTCACAAAAAAAATGTTTTGAGAAAATCTACTTTGATCAGAGATAAAACGCTTTAAAGTAACAATTTAGAATGGAAGATTTTCTCAAAACATTTTTTTTCAACTGACTCTTATCTTGAGATTCAAACTTATTTTCAATTAGTGTTAAGGTTAATTTCATCTTTGCTTTGTATTCAATTTTCTATATTGTTATTGAATTTTATTTTACAGACTGGGAAAAAGGTTACAGTTGAACTGAATGATTGCTTACAGGTTATACTTATGTTGTGTAAAAGTAAAAAATTTTTTTCAGTCATCAATAAAAACAAAAACTTTCAGTGTAAACAGGCTTTTATCCCAATAACCAAAACTAAGTGAAAGCATGAAACTACCCATAAATATATTTTAACGCTAGACACAATTTAAGAATTAAAGTAATCTATAACACGAAGCTTTAAAATTACAATTTAAAAAAGATTACAATAAATTAATTACTTTTAAATTCTTTTTGATTCTAGCCATATTACATCATTGTATCATTAGGGTGTTTCATTTCCAACAATTTTTCGAAAATGGTTACGTTACATGTATAACAGGGTAAATGTGCCAAAAAAAGTCTAAAAAATTTTCAAAATTTTAAAATGTCATCTAGAGGTCAATATCTTGAAAAAATAGTGTTTTTTACACTTTTTTCAACTTTAAACTTGAATAACTTAAAAAATAATTAATTTTATGTTACATTACTGGGTGTATATATCAAAGGTTATTAGATGAACATTGTTATTAAATGAAATTTTCAGAAAAATTGTTCAATGTCTAGAGGTTGCCGTATTAAAATATAAAGCTAAAAAACTTTTTATTTTTTTAAGTCTTAAAAAAAAAAATTCAACTAGGCTATTTTTAGGCTTCAGCTTTTCTATGAATAATATTTCTAAGAATAATAATTTCTATATAATAATTATCTAAGAATAATTAATAAAAAAGATAGTAGTAATATAAAAAATATTATAAAGTATTAAATAGTTTTGATTTCGAATAGGTTGGATTTTGTTGTTCAACAACTTCCAAAATAAATTGTCGTTGTTCTTCATTTTGCGCACACTCGAGGAAATCACCAATAAGTTTGATTCCTCTTTCGACACAATCATTTGTTACCTCTAATTGTTTAACTAAATTTTCTGCACTTATTGCCATTATTGTTCTGGTAAATTCTGACAATTTTTCATTAAATAAAGATAGAATAACAAGCTCTTCTGTTAAATACCAAAGGTGGTGGTTAATCGACGAAATCACAGTCATTGTGATATCTGAATCTTCTTGATACCAGTTCATTGCAACAAAAAATTTGAAGTCATCAACTGGAGCAAATACGGAAATCCTCAAGCGGAGAAATTGCATTGAATTTAAAAAGAATAATAAACTTAACCATGCGGTGAATCATAATTTGCTCATTATTATACATTATAAATTTATAAGATAAGAGTTTCATTTTTAAAATATATATAGAATGTGACATAAATCTCGCATTGTGAATTGCACCTGGTGTGTGAATTTTGAATATTCTGTCCATTGATAGTTTTCCCCCAAGGTAGATAATAGTTAATTCAGTTAACTAAATGAAATCTTCTCGCAGAAATATTTTCTCTTTGAGGCATTGGTAAGCCCATTTCAGAACTAAACTTGCTTTATTAAATATTTATAGTTTAATGTCAGTTGGCCATTCAAAAAAATTAAAGTTTGAGTAATTAATATCAATTCTAGAAAATTCGGCTTGGAAACGTTTAAAAATAGGTTCATCTGGACTTTTGCTACCTCCTTGTAATACGGTAAATGCATGTTTGATGTGTAGCTCATTATGATGATGGCGACATACTAGCCACATACTAGGAGATACTAGGAGCCACATACTAGGACATACTAAGAGAGGTCTCTTTAACTCAATTTCAATTAAAGTTGCTGCTCCTTTTTTATTACCTGTGTTGCTTGCTGTTGTATCAAAGCATATAGCAACAATGTTTTCCAAAATGTTCCAATCTTGTGCAAGTTTCACGGCCACATCACATTGAGTTTACCTGTCAAATCTTTAATCAAAGGTACACCAATAAGTTTCGCCCTGTAAATAAAAGTTAAGTTAGTCTCTTTGAATACAAGAATAAAAAATATACATAGGATTTATATAAATAAATAAGTACCCGTTAAGAGATCTGCTAATAAGAACTGCTACACGTTCTTCGTTATGAGCTATGTATAAATAAAAAAGCTTCGAATCCCAGTGCAAAATGGCCTTTTTAGGTTTGTTTATCTCCCAGTCAGCTTTAATTGACAGAACAATATTCTCTCGCGCATTTTGTCTTTGACGATGCACAGTTTATACTGATATTGAAATTTCATCAAGTTTGCCGCTTTTGCAGATGATAGTGGATTGAAATTGTTGGCGAACTGGTAAACAACATCGATCTGCCACAGATGCTGTTACTTCTGAGAGCTTCTTTGCTGATATCTCTAGTGAATTTGTTAATGGCATCTTTGTTTTCTTTAGTAGTAAAGGAGTAAACTCTGTATCTTTTTAATCTTCTTCATCAGCACTTTCAACTAATTCACTGACTTCAAATTCACTCAATTTTTAATCTTTGGTTGAACTTCATTGAAAATCGATTTAAAAATTTTGAAGCACCTTGATCGATGCTACCTGTCATGTGATACTTTCTGCTACTCTTTTGATCTTCATAAAATGTCTAATCCTTTTTCCATTTTGGTCTACGTAATACTAATAACTGTTCATATGCATTTAATGCTGAAATGTTGCAAAGTTGCTCAAGTTCATTACAAAATCTGACAATTTTTTCTTTTCTAGCTTTAACATCTCGACTTGATAAATATTTTTTATTTTTACTTTTTCCACAAACAATTTAGTAAGCAACGAAAGACAAGAGTTATCTAATGGAATTGGTACTCCAGCTTTTTCCCAAACTTCCTTAAGCTCACCAAGAACAAATTTAAAAATATCTCTTGCAGAAGTGTTGCCTTTTGAACAAAAATGTAAATGAGAGTATCTACCCAAAACATGTTTTTTTTGTTGGTAGACGACTGAAACTTGATAATTTATTGGATTCAGGGTAACCAATTAACCAATCTTGATTATTTTTTTAGGTTCATTGTTACAATAAAATATTTGCTTATCTAACTAGTTTTAAGATTTTTTTTAACATTTTAATTTTGCTAATTGATATAAGAACCAATTTTTTTAAATAAGTTTATGAAATTTATATACATATGTCCAAATGTTTATTTTGCAAACTATTTAATCACGCAGCAACTTTTAGTGGTCAATTATGCTCAAAACATAAATTATGCATTTTATTTAAGGTGAAGTTTTTTTAAAGCATTTAAGTAATTTTTTAGCAAAAAAATATGTTGAAAAAATAAAACTGTATAATTCGGCGACCTCTAGACATTAACCAATATTTTTAAAAATTTGGCCAAATGTTTATCCGATAACCTTTATTATACACACCCGGTAACATAAAATTAAATTATTTTTTAAGTAATTTAAATTTAAAGTTGATAAAAGGGTAAAAAACGCCATTTTTTCAAGACGCTGACCTCTAGATGATATTTTAAAATTTTGAAAAATTTACAGATTTTTTTTTGGCCCATTATTTACCCTGTTATGCATGTAATGTAACCATTTTCGAAAAATTGCCAGAATGAAACACCCTATTGTATCATAACATCATTATTCATTACATTATTAGATCATTGCATTATTAAATCATTACATCATTAAATCATTATATCATTACATCATATAATTACATCATTATATCATTTCATCATTAGACCATAATAATAATTCATTGTTCAGAGAAAATAAACTTTTCTTTTCATATGTTTTAGACTTCTAGTGGTGAAAGACATATAGTTCTAGAAAATTCAACTTCAGTTGGTTTTGAAGAAGTAAAGATTAGGAAATCTGGTGAAAAAAGAATTAAACGTCCACTTATTTCCATTCAGGTTGAAAATCGATTTAAAATTTTTGATGCAAATTTATTTTACTATTTTTATTTTTTCAACAGGATAAACGCTTTTTTTCAACAGGATAAGAACTTTTATCAACAGGATAAACACTTATGCAGTAACACTTTTGTAAATGAAAAGTTTATTAGCTAAAAATATGAATAGTGTAATAGCTAAAAATAGTGTCAAGAATATCTGTTTATTTAAATTCAAATTTTTTTAAAATTTTAAAAGTGGCTTGAACAAATTCTCAGTAGTTATAAAATTAAAAGCATTATTGTACTTGGTGTAGAAAAAGCAATACACTGCGACCATTTTCTATAGGCGCATGTGGATTATGTCTTAAAAACGTACTTAACTTTATTTTTATAGTGTATTTCAATAAATTATAAATAAAGTATCAAAAAGTAATGAAAATTATCAAAAAATAATATCAAATTTGAAAAGAAGTCAATCATAAATGAATTAAATTCAAAAGATAGCTGACTATTTTCTATAGACGCAGTTCACATTTTTTAACTAAACTATCAAAAAAAAAATGTTTTTATCACATTTTTAGTACTCGATTGGACTTCCTTTGCGCTCAATTACTTTATAAATTCGTTTTGGCATACTTCCGACCAAGTTTTTCAGCACTTTTGGCTCCATATCCTCCCAGCATTCTGATACCGCTACTTTTAGCTCTGCTACAGAGTTATATTGCTTCTGGTCAGCATATATACGTCTTACAATGATTCCCCAGATATTTTCAACAGGATTCAAATCTGGACTGTGAGCAGGCCACCACATTTGCTTGATTTTTTTAGCTTCAAACCAAGCTTTAGTCTCGTTACTAGTGTGAATGCTGGCGTTGTCTTGTTGGAAAACAAACTTTTTGCATTGATATTTGTTTTTAAATGGAATCAAACATGATTTTAGCACATCAATGTATTCAGAACTTTTTATTTTGCAAGATGTAAATGCTAAATTTAACTTTCCTGTTGCACAAAACCCAAGCCAAACCATCAAAACTCCACCATCGAAATTCCTTGTTGAAAAATATTTGGGTTCTCTCCTCAAATCACGCCAGTAGCACTAAAACCATCAGGCCCATCAAGATTAAACTTTTTCTCGTCCAAAAAAATCACCTGGTATTGAAAACAAAAATATTCAGCTATTTAGACATCTTACATATTCATGAGAATTTAATCTAAAATTTCTTACTTGTTCCCAATCATGTGCCATGTTTTCGCGAGCGAATTCCATCCGTTTCTGTTTGTGAACGGGCTTCAAACTTGGTGCTTTATTCATTTTTGATTGTACAATGTGTGGGCTGTCTTTAAGAACTTTCCTAATTGTCTCCTTGCAAACATTTAAACCCAAATCTGACTTAATTGTTTTCAAACTTTTTGATGGATTTGATGCGAGTTGAACAATTCTGCGTTTTTCACGACTGGAAACCTTAGATTTCTTTGGTTTCCTTTTGATTGTTGCATAATCTGCTGGATTTTTCAAGAAATTATGGATAATGTGATCTGATCTCTTCAATCTTCTAGCAATTTCTTGATTTGGAACTTTTTCTCGATGAAAAGCCAATATTTGACTTTTTTCAATATTGGTAATGACCTTTCCTTTTGGCATTTGGTTTAGTTCAACTTAATTTCGACTCACAAAATAAAAAATACCACAGAATATAAGAAATTTGCAAAAAAACTTGTAAAAACTTTAGTGCGTCTATAGAAAATTGCCACGTGAATATTAAAAATTTAATTATTTTAATACAATCAAGACAATTAATAACCAGATGCATAATGGATCATCGTTTTCTTAAGTATACTTATTTAAAAGTACCGTTAGAACAATTTTATTACCATTGTAACACTGTAAATCCGCTAAATTCTACATGCGTCTATAGAAAATGGTCGCAGTGTATCAAATAATGTTGTTAACTTGGCATAGAAAAAACTACACCCCAGAATCATCCTAAAAACATGTGTATATTTTATTAAAACTTTTTTAGGTTGATGGTTTTCAACTTATTAAAAACATTGTTATCAAACAGCAGCGCATTGTTATCTATGATCTTGTACCTGATGACGTATGTTTATTTGTTTAAAAATATTTTTTGTTGGATTAAGCATATAGTTTAATGATGATAATTATATTATCTTGTTATATTGACTATAAAGTTATGATAATTGCATTTACTGCAGCTTTAAGTCTATATTTGTGCATACTTTAAGTTTGGCCTAAAAAACACCCAAAGAAATTAAAGATGGTATAGTTTATTTATATTTACTGATAAATTTTCTTGAACTTGTTTATTGTTAGTTATAAACCTAGTTGTATTTACATTATAAAAAAATTTAATAATAGAGATGAGTGAAATGAAAGTAGTTTAGAGTTATGGAATTAATTATATATAAAAGTAACTAGGAGTTATGCAATTAGATCAGGGTTCTTGAAATATTTCTTAAAATATAATAAGTTTATATTCTAAAAAATAAAATAAAGATTTTAATATACTTTATTGTCATGTTTATTATACAATAGTTTTGTAAAATTATTGTAAAGTAAATATATATAATATATTAATATATACATATATATATATATATATATATATATATATATATATATATATATATATATATATATATATATATATATATATATATATATATATATATATATATATATATATATATATATATATATATATATACATATATATATATATATATATATATATATATATATATATATATATATATATATATATATATATATATATATATATATATTTAATTTTCAGAATTCTGGTAGTGAAGCATATTCTGTTGTCATTGAAGTTACGACAAATGATGGACAGAGATCTATTTATATTCGTTCTCCCTTGCAGGTTTATTTTTTATTTTTTTTTATTTTACTATTTTCTTTACAGGTTTTTTACGTTTTTTTTAGTGACCTCAGTACATATTCTGCCATCATTAATTTGTTGTACAGATATATTACACTATAAAGTATAGCTTCTATACAATTAGCCATTTTTATGCTGTAATATATATATATATATATATATATATATATATATATATATATATATATATATATATATATCAATTTCATACGTAGCTCTTACTTTACTTGTCAGTTGATTTACATAGATTTAGCGCTCATCTATACTTGTTTAAGTAAAATACTATCAGTGACATTTTTTGCTAAATAAGGCTATATTAATAAGGATTTTAAGGCTAGACAATTGCTGCAGCTGTTTTACTTGTTTACTTTATTTATTTATTTTACTATTTATTTAAATAATAAAACTTTTTTTATAAATAATATGTGTAATAAAGTAATAGGTAATAAAAAAAATTACTGAATAAAATATTTTTAAATATTTATATTTGCATAACAATTTAAATTTTTTTTACTTTTAGATCAAAAATCATTTTCCAATGCCAATTGACATATTATACAAAAATAAAGACAGTGAAAACAAGCTGCTTGCAAAAGTAGAAAGTAAATGCACATATGCTGTACCTCTAATACCTGCTTATCATTGTTCTTTTTATTTAAAGCCATCTGGTTTTATGTAAGTTTTTTGTTTTTAAAATAAAAAAATTTACTAAAAATTAGCTTTATGTCATAAAATTATTTTTATTTATGAGTTGTTAATGGTTGTGATATTGTTTTTCAACAGTAGCATCATTTTGAATGGTATTATTGTTATGTATGCTTAAATTTAACAAAAGATAATTTTATAATAGTTTTAAGTAGTATGGTTGTTTTTATGATGATGATGATGATGATGATGATGATGATGATGATGATGATGATGATGATGATGATGATGATGATGATGATGATGATGATGATGATGATGATGATGATGATGATGATGATGATGATGATGATGATGATGATGATGATGATGATAAAGATTATGATGATATACCGCTAGCTGTTTTTTAAAAAAGCAAAGTATGAGTACCAATGGATAAAAAAAGAATTCAGAAATCTTGAGAGTTCAAATGAAAATCAGGACCAGATAAAATGTTAGATAAAGATATAAATTTTTTCTGACAATTGATGTTGCTATTTATTAATACAAGCTTTTCTAATTCTCTTCACTCTTCACTGTTTGCTGTTGTTCTTTTTCAATTATATTGTACAACCACTTTGTGTATTTTTTTTACTGAATCAATTGTCATTGGTTCCGCAGTAATAATTTTCAGTTTCTTCTAAATAATTGATGAAAGGTTTTTAAAATTAGTTGAGCATTTGCAGAACTTGAATTTTTCCTTAGGAATTCATTTGTTTATTATATCAAATTCTTTATTCTTTTGATACCAACATCTTGCGTGATTCACTTTTGTTTTGGAAATCCTCCTTTTATTGGTTTCTTCAAAAAATCTGGTTTATTGAAGTTCAATTCTGGTGTTGTAGTCATTTTTAAAAAAAAATAAAAATGATATTTTTATACAACCATATTTTTGCTGATAAAGCACAAGCATTTTTGATTTTTTACATAATAATTATTACATATTATATCATATTATTAATATGTGATAATATTAAATAATTATTACATAGTATTAATATGTAATAAAAAATGGTCTTTATTAGCTTTCCAAAACTTTAGGGATTCAGCTAACCAACCACCATCTTAGTTTGAATATCCAAAGAAATTTAGAATGTTGCTTGATTTCGGTCAAACTAAATCAGTTAAATAAGTACTCGGTTTCTAAAGAGAAAATTGTGGAAAGCCTAAATCATGTTCCCAGTCTTCTCTTATATTTTTAAGAATTATTTTAGAAATTTTATTTATAATTTTATCTTTATTAAGATTTCGGTAAATGGTAGCAACAGCAACAATATTGTCAATTTTTTTATAAAAAAGCATTTCTTTGTAGAACTCCAAGTCATTAAATGATGCATCAATTGTGTTTGTACATATCAGCCATATTTTCACATAAAACAGCATTGAAAATTTACAAAACCATAATAATTTCTTTATATAACTTTCTTCATACTCTGCCAATTCACCAAAAGCAAACATTTTTGATGTATGCTAAATTGTACACATCCATCTAACATGATGTAAAGCCTCAGGTGTGCACCACTGTATATTTATTTGTTTTGAATTCATTAATTGCAAAGCAAGTTTGCAACATTTTTGATAATCATCTCTTAATATTTTTTGAAACTTCCGGTTATGTAAACCAACAAAAGAATTTTACTTCTGCTTGTTTGATCTTTAATACTGGATCCTCAATTTTAATTTTTCTAAAAATGATATTTGAACTTAATGAAAGTTTAGGTTATACATCATTTTTAAAGTGCCTAAATAATTAATAATTTGGAGATCAACATTCTCCAATAATTGTTAAATAAACTGATGTCAAAAAATCTTTATAAGGTATAGTATCTGCAGGCATACCAAAGTAACTTTTTATTGGTGTTCTTCAATTAACTTTGCAGAACCATTTATCCAACCTGAATTTGATTGAGTTGTGTCAAAAATCATTTTTACAAGTGTTTTTTCTAGTTTCCAGGCCTTTACAGTACCTATGGTTGCTGTTAAATGGAAATCCCCTAACTTTTCCCAGTTGTAGAGGGGATTTTGGACGCACAACAATTTTTCTTCAGATGCACCTGGTTTTTCTGTTACCACAATAGCCAAGCGTTTTATTTTACCATCTAACTCAGATAGAAACTTTGAATCCCAGTAAATGTAAGAGTGGATGGATGAAGTTAATATTTTTTTAACTCCATTGAATACTTGCTGTCAAGTTTTATTACCTGATCTTTTTGAGATATTTCATTCAAATTGTGACCTAATGCTTCAGCTACAGCTAAAATGATCCCAGATCTTTCTCTGTTGGATAGATTCCACCTATCAGCCATTAAAGAAACTTTAGTGTATTCTAATACCCTAATTTTTTTTCTGTCTAGTAACAGTACTTTCTTTATATTTTCTTTTCTTGATTTCTTTTTTTTAATAGCTTTAATTTACTGTGATTCTTTATTCTTTCTTTTTACTTTCATAGTATAACTCCTATTTAATGAACCCAAAAGTTGTTTTTATAAATGACACTGATCTGATAGAAAATTTAAATCTGATATTTGGCTATTGATCTTCTGCATTGATGGGCATCAAATTTGCAATCAAAAATTGCAGCACTGAAAACCAAACAGAGATGATTAGTAAACCTCAGAAGTTGAGTCATATAGCTTTTTTTTTTTTACATTTTTAATCAAGGTCTTTCTAAGATGTATCAGATGCAGTATCATTCTAACAGTATTTACAGATTTTAACTACAGATGCAAAGTCACTTCTTTATCAGTTAGTTTCAAATCAAACCTTGTAAGATATAGGTAATGGCATAAAACCTTTCCATTAGTTGGTAATTGACTAATTGAAATAATTTCTAATGAAGTTATTTTATTTGAAAATATTATTTAAAGTTGAATTATTTTTTTTTACATACCTGTGGCTGAATTTATTTTCAAATCTGCTTTCAGTTTTCTTCCAGCACGTCTAGTTCTTGAGATATTTGGAATTTTAATTTTTGGACATTCTGTCCTTTATTCCTATACATAAACATTGATAAGCATTCAATATTTCAAGCACCACTTATATTTCTATACAAATAAGTCAAAATCTCTGTAACTAGGTTTATTCATAAACATTTATACACATTTAATAGTTTAAAGACTGTTGACTAAAGCATATAAATCACTTAAAATCTCTGTGAGTATGACTTCCTTTTGTAGACTTTTTCTGGTTCATCATGATAAAGCATCCAACAGCAGTCACCTAACATGCTTTCATTCCAGAATCCTTGGTAATGCTTTTCCATCACTTGAATATCTTGGTGGAATTGTTCACCTTGTTCATCACTCACACCGCCCAAATTTTCAGGAAAAAATGCCAGATGCAAATGCAGAAAATGCATTTTCAATGACAGTCGACAGCCCACTTTTTGGAACAAATCGAAGTAGCTTTTGAATACTATTTTCATATTCACATAATTTGTGATTCCCAAAAAAGTTCTTACAAACCCATGCTTTCCACGCTTCTTTTTTGTTGGAAGTGACTCTTCAAATCCATGGTCTTTCAAAACCTCTCGAATTTAGGGTCCGACAAAAATGCCTTCTTTGAGTTTTGCTGCACTAATTTTAGGAAATTTTTCAACCAAGTGTTGAAAACCTGCTGATTTAGGTTTACCTGATGCTTTTACAAAGTTTTTCATCAAACTAAGCTTTATGTGAAGTGGTGGCAAAAATATCTTGACTGGATCAACCAGTGGAATATGGTGAACACTGTTTACACCAGGTTCGTATTCAGTTTTCAACATTTTACATAATGTTCGTTCACAACACGACTATCTCATAAACAAAGAAAGCAGCAGAACTTGGTAAACTTTGTTTGCATACCCATTAATATACCAATAACTTTCAAATCACCACAAATGTTCCACTGATGAGTTTTGTAATCAATAGTGTCTAGTAATATTTTCATATTTTTGTGAGTTTTGTTTAAGTGTACGAAATGAGTAATTGGAATACATGGGTTCTCATTGCCAATATGCAACAAGACAGCCTTCAAATTTGTCTTGGATGAATCAATGAAGAGGCGCCAATCACGAGGCGAATGCACTTGGGATAAGTTTTCGAAAAGACCATTGACATTATTGCAGTAGCACAAGGGTCCATCAATGGTGAAAAACCCAGATAAATTGTTGTTGCGCTTTCGAAAGTGGGATACTTGCCTTTCTTTGCCTTTTACTTCTTCCTAGAATAGGGTAGAAATATTTCCTCCAAAATGACACTTCAATCTAATATTCTTATTCCATATTCAATCCATATTCTTCCTGTCATACCAGTTAAACAAGTTAACCCATTGTTAAACATCAAAATCACTCTACTACTATCATGAACAATGCTCAATTGAGCTATCATCCCTGTTACAATAAAACAAAACTCATTCTTGCTTGGCTTCTTATTCAACAAGTTGCATCCTTCATGCTATTATACTTTTATTAATCCAGTTTTTTTCTTTGAAAATCAAAAAAACCTTATCTCTTACCCATCTTCATGTTTTCCTTTTTAATACAACCTACAACTTTTCAAGACTTCAGTTAACCTTTTCTTAGCTTTTTAACCCTATCCTCAATTTTCTCATATCCTTAAAGTAACGCATAACTTAATAATGGTTGCTTGCAGCCTTATTAGAAATAAATTACAGTTAAAAAATATATAATTATATGCTAGTATTTAATAAATAGTAAATGTAAGAATAAAGTTATAATATACAAAGCTTTCTACATTTTTTTCTAGCCCCGGCTATCAACCCCTACTAAATCTTATAATTTTACCTGGGCCGGGTTCGTAAAAGTCTCATTTTTAGCCAGGGACCTTTTAGCTGGAGCTGAGGCCCCGGACACTTTTTATATTTGAAAAGAAATAAGGGAAGAAATATGCAAATCTTGTTCATCATTTGTTTTAAATTTGTTTTAATACAATATTAGTTTTATTCTTTTATTGTAACTTCAAAATAAATTAACACATGGTATTCCTGTATATTACTATAGTTACATGGTATTCCTGTATATTACTATAGTTACATGGTATTCCTGTATATTAGTATAGTTACATCGTATTCCTGTAACATGGTTTATTTTAGATCTCCAGCTTGCTCTCTTTTTCTTTTTTCAATTGTTTTTTTTTAAAGGTTTTTTTTGAGCCTGTAGAGTTGTTTAGATCTGCCATAATTTTTTAAGTTGATAAGTTGGCCATGTGACTTAAGGTTTCATTTATCATTGGTTTAACTGTAAATAACTTGGACAACTTCGTTTTTTTAATAAGAAAATATTGGACAAAAGTGGTCATTTCAAAGTTGCCCTTTTTTAGGATATAGATATATCAACTAAAAACATTTGTTTTTTTATCTCAATGAACATTTATAAGTTTCAATAATTAAATAAAATTCAATATCGATAAAAATTAATCCTGGTGATTACTCTAAATCATAGTGTATTTGCATATAGATATACTCACACTACCATACCAATAGTTTGGAATGATTTTGCTGTTGAAAAGAAAAAGTTGCTAAGTTGTATTAATTCAGAAGATGAAAGTTTTCCTTTTTATATCCAGGTTAATTTTTTTTTTTTAAATAAAGATTTTTTATTAAAAATTTATAAAAAGTTATGTTTAAAAATATATTTTTAAAATGTTTTAAATTAGATTGTTGCAGAAGAAGAAGTTTATGCTTCTATGCATGGAAAATTGAATGCAATACCAAAGTATCTTATTAATTGCTATCCATCATTTACTCTACATAACTACTTGCCATATACAATCAAATATAAAACTCCGGTTTGTATATTTTTTCTTTTTA